ACTCATCAATGTGTCTCTCTCACATCGATGTTTCTCTCTCATCCCCCTTCCTCCCTCCCTTCCACTCGCTCTAAAAATCAATGGGGAAAATACCCTCAGGTGAGGATTAACAAAACACCAAACAAACCAACAAGAATCCAGGAGAAGGGCCGTGGGCCTGGCACCAACGCTGGCTGTCCAGCCAGGTCCTCCGGCCGAGGGGCTGACCACAGGGGGGTCTGGAGGGCCCTTCACCCGCGTGCTGCTGACCAGCGGCTTGGCCGTCAGGCCTGACCTCCGACCTGGCCCTGCCTTTCGCGATGCCCGCTGTGGGCTTGGCCATCTGGAGGGCGAAGGACCTGACTTTTCCAGTTGTAAGAAACGCGGGGAATGTCCTGCCCGTGAGCCACTGGGATTCGGTCCAGCTTCATGCTGTGTCCACGGTACACGTGTCCCCGCAGTGGGTGTGGGAACATCGTGACCTTGAGCACACCAGTGCCCTTGAGGCTCTGGGCTCAGCCAGTTCAGGACTCGCAGGGCTGGCGGGCTCCGTGTGGCTGCACTGGGGCGGGGGGGCAATCAGCGGGGGGGCTGGCGGGGCAGTGCTCGTCTCTCTCCGCAGCCCCTCCCGCGGGTCAGGTCTCTGCGGGGCCCAGCACGCGGGCGGCCTCCTCCGCGGAGGGCGGCTTTGATGCCGTGTTTAATCCGTTCCTTGGTGCCGGCTTTGAAGAAATCCCTCTGCTCTCTGTGCGTGTGATGGAGCCTTATTTAATCGCACCTTCCCTGCTCCCCGCGCGGCGAGGCGGCTGATGAATGGAGATTGCTTTGCTCTTTGGTTTATGGGAAAATGAAAACGTTGCATCTGAGCTGGGCGTTTTTCTCTGCGGCTGCTCCGGAGCCAGACGGGGCTCACGCGGCAGGAATTCTCCCCCTCGGGCTGTTCTGGAGAGAGGCTGGCAGGGGGGCCGCTGCCGCTGTGCTGGGCGAGTTCCCAGGCGCTTCCTGCTGCCTCTGCTGCGCGGCCGCCCGTAGGCGCAAGGCATCCGCTCCAGACCCACCCGGACGGGCCGCCTCCACGGGGAGCCCGAGGAAGCAGCCCTGGCCAGTGTGGCTCAGTGGCTAGAGCGTCGGCCTGCAGACCAAAGGGTCCCGGGTTCGATTCCGGTCAAGGGCACGTACCTCGGTGGCAGGCTCCTCCCCGGCCCAGGCCCTCTCTCACATCGATGTTTCTCTCTATCTTTCCTCTCCCTTCCCTCTCCCTAAAAATTAATAGAAAAATATCCTCGGTTGAGGATTAAAAAAATAAAAATAAAACCAGAAGCAGCCATGGTCACTTCTCCTCCCAGAGTGTGAGCCCAGACCCCTTTCTCGGTGAGGGCCGAATTCCATCCTCCGCAGCCACGGGCGGTCCCGACCCAGGACCAAGCCGGGGCCTTTCTTTCCTGCCCCCCCCCCCCGCCAGGCTCCTGCCCTCCTGGCCCCTGAGCAGGGTGCCCCGGAATCGTAAGCCCCCCCAGTTCTGACCCTGTCAGCGCCGCCTGCAGAGGAAACAGCTTTAAAATAGCCATTGCCGCCCTCGCCTGCAGTCCGGCTGGGCCTAAAGCAGAGCCCCTCAGAAATGCGGGGGCGCTGGGCCGGCCGTGGCTGAGCGTGGCTGACCGTGGCTGGGCCGGGCGTGGCTGAGCATGGCTGGGCCGGCCATGGCTGACCGGGGCTGAGCGTGGTGTCGCCAGTGCCTGCCCGTGGGCCCTCCTCGCAGGGAGCCCCGAGGTGTTAATGCGGGTCGTTGTGTACGTGCCAGTGTACAGAGCAGACAGGGGGGTCCTGGGGACTCGAGCTGCTGACACGCAAATGCCGCGTTAGGAAAGCAGCCGTGCGCACTCCTGGGTTAGGACATGCGGGGGCGGCTGTCACCCCCGTCCCCGTCCCTGTCCCCGTCCCGCACCAGAGGCGCTCGAGGCGTGAGCAGGACGGTCTCCGTGGAGTCGGTAACGAGGCGCAGCCCAGCGGTAGCGCCCAGTCCAGCTCTGGACGCTGGAAACGGCATCAGACCTGCTCAGAAAATGACACACCTAGTGATGTTATAAAGATGAACAGTTTTTTAAAAATATATTTTTATGGATCTCAGAGAGGAAGGGAGAGAGAGAGAGAAATAGAAACATAAATGATGAGGGAGAATCATGGATCGGCTGCCTCCCTGCACGCCCTGCTCTGGGGATCGAGCCCACAACCCGGGCCTGTGCCCTGACGGGGAATCGAACCACATCCTCCTGGTGCATGGTCCACGCCCACCCACGGGGCCGCGCCGGCCGGAGAAGATGAATGGTTTTAAAATCCATTTCTCAGCACAGAAGTGTAGCGATGGGAGCAGCCAGTGAAGCTGCCGGGTCTGGCTCCACTGCCTTCGTGAATCCATGCAAAGGCGGAACCAGAGGAACGGGTCCCCTCGAACGAAGTGGGGACATGTAGGGATGGGACCGGGTGGGGGACAAGCCCCCCCCGTGGGAACTCGCAGGCCGGGGGTGGGGCGCGGGGTATGGGCCGCTGCGGCGTCTCAGCGTGCGACTCTCTTCACAGGGTTTCCAAGGCAAGACCGGCCCCCCAGGACCCCCAGGCGTGGTCGGCCCTCAGGTGAGATGCAGCGTCGTCCCTGTGTCACCTGCACGCACGCAAATAGACACACACACACATACATGTGCACGCATGTGAGAGGGCCACCCAGGCTTAGGTGCCAGCTCCCCAGGAAGCTGAAGGGGTCGGTCCTGCTAGTTGACACGCTGACGTCCGGCGAAGCTGGTGAGCCTCAGACACGTGCTCCGGGCAGGCAGCCAGATGGCGGACAGAGGGGCGGGTCTGGGGACGGTCATCGTAAGCCAGGCGAGCAGCACGAAGGCCCTGCCCGAGCCCACGGGCAACTGGGGCCAGACCGGGCGGGACCAGCTGTGCCCGCGGCCTCGCTGTGGTGTCCACGGCCACCTGGTCCCGGCCCTGGTCCCATCAGTGCCTGGGCTCTCCGCCCTGAGAGGACGGGCCCGGCAGGACCGGCGGCTCAGAGCACGAGGCAGGGCCGTCACCCTGTGTCCTGGGACGTTCACACCTAATGGACAGGAAGTGAGACACTGACCCGCCACAGCCACGGGGTGCAGGAGCATGGGCCCAAGCCACTCCCGTGGCAGACGTGGCCACCCTCGCTGTCCTGTTTCCCTGCGACACCCGGGAAACAGGACCAAGGCGTGGCGCCTCTGGGCTTCTCCTTCTGTCCTTAGATTGAGGAACAGAAGGTGGCTCCCTTGGGCGTCCCTTGAAAGTTGTGGCTGATGCTGATCTTCCCACAGGGTCCCACCGGAGAGACTGGCCCGATGGGCGAGCGTGGCCACCCGGGGCCCCCGGGCCCCCCCGGTGAGCAGGGCCTCCCGGGCCTTGCTGGGAAAGAAGGGACGAAGGTGAGTCGCTCAGACCTCCTCGCCAGCCCGGACTTTCCCCTGGGACCATTGCTGTGTGTGGTCTGTTTTCTGCTGCTCTTCGCTGATGGACGCGTCCTTTCTCGGACAGGCGCTCCCCATGCCCCGACCATGAGCGTAGCCCCCTGCTGCCCGATTAGAAAGGGGATGGGCTGACCTAAAGGGTCTGGGGATCAAACCGTCCTTGCCCTTCCGCCTGGGCAGTGTTCTGTCTATGTGTTCTGGAAAGCGACCCTTTAAACAATGCCCCACTGTTAGGGACAAAAGAATAGACAATGATAGCAGAGAAGGGTGCCTCTTTGTCTTCCCTCCCGGCTGCCCTGGCTCTGCGTCCCTCTGTTCCCCGGGAAGCCCCCGCCCCAGCCTGGGTGCCCCAGGGGGTGGTCGGAATTCCTGTGGATTAGCATAAAAATGAGCCGGCCTTCCCTTCTCAGTTTTCCTGTGAGTGACACAGGAAATGTGAGCTCTCCTTTATGTGGTCATGTGCAAGGGAGCAGACTTAATAATAAAGTAAAGTACAGCCAGTGAAGAAATACTGAAAACATTACACGCACGTATGTGTGTGTGTGTGTGTACGTATGTGTGTGTGTGCGTATATATACCTGAGTACACACACACTTGAAGAGCAGATGTGTGTGCGCATGGCCTATAAGTAGATGTGTCTGCACATGGAACAGGCAGGTGCAGGTGTGGGTCCCCGTCCGCAGAGGCCGCTCCGAGTTTGGAAAGGAGGTTAAGGGCAAGCTGGTTTGGAGACCCCAACGCTCCCATGTTGGGCCCCAGAGAAAGTTCTGGAAGAGATCGCAGCTTTAATGCACCTGCACGAAGGCTCAGGCTTGGGGGGCCTCTTGGCAGAATGTGGTTTGGGGCTTGAAGCAAGAGCCTTCGGCGCCGCCTGCCTTTGGGGCGATGCCCCCAGCCCTTGGCTGTGGCTGCCTCTTCTGAGGACCCCAAATCCACAGGAAGGCGGACACGGGCGGAACCGCTCTGCCCGGCCCCCGGCCCCAGAACCGCACAGGGCGGCCTGACCGCGGGCCCCCAGGTGCCAGCTTGGGCCACGCTCCAGGGCGCGGAGCTGCCAACCAGCGAGTCCAGTCGGGACTCCGGTTCCTTTAAAGCCCAGCGCCCGGAAGTCCCCCCTCCCGCAGCTCCCATGGCCCCGGCCCCGGCCCTGCTCACCACCTGTGGCTCTCATTTCAGGGGGACCCAGGCCCCGCCGGCCTCCCCGGGAAGGACGGGCCCCCAGGATTGCGTGGCTTCCCCGGGGACCGAGGGCTCCCCGGTCCTGTGGTGAGTAAGGGGCCGGCGGGGGCTGGAGCGGACACTGCCCAGCCCGGGCGCCTCTCCCCGCCGCGCCCTTGACCCCGATCTCATTGCTTGGCAGGGAGCACTTTGGACTGAAAGGCAGCGAGGGCCCCCCAGGCCCGCCCGGGCCCCGCGGTGAAGTGTGTTGGCCCCCCAAAAGAGTCTGCGAAAGGCACTAGGGAAGCCACTGAGGGTTCTGGGAAGCCGAGGGGGGGTGGGGGACCCGCGGGTGTCTTGGGAGGGAAGTTCTGGTGCCCGGTTTGGGGAGGCCCTGGAAAACCAAAACCTCTTTTCCTTTGCCCCCCGCCCCCAGGGAATCCTCCCGGGGGAAGAAGAA